TAACATGCTATTCCCAGCAATCTCTCGCTTTACTTTTGTCTTCCTTGTTTCCGCTGTACTCGGTGCCTTTGTTGGATTTCTTTCTGCGCTGGTAAACTGTTGCACTTTTTGCTAGGGAAAAAGACAATGTTTATTGCCATCATTTTATATAACATCTTTTTGGAAGCAAAAAAAAAGGAAAAAGGCGGAAAAGAGAGCGACAAAATTTTACTTCTAATATTTCAAAAGAAAAAGTAATTTGAAGTTCTATGGCACAGAAACTAAAATTTTTCATTGTGGCAACGTTTCAGCTATTTAAACACGTCGATTTGCGGAAGACGCCAGCTTTGGAGCTTGCATTATTACTCATATTTGCATATTTGCCCTATGGACTCGCTGAGGCTATCTCGCTTTCCGGTTCTTTTTCGACCATTTTTCGCACCATTATTTGTCATTTTTCGTTCCTAGTATTGCGTGGCTTAATCATTCTCAATCAATTTTAGGTATAATGGCAATTTTGTTTTGCTCGATAACGATGTCTCAGTATACACATTTCAACATTTCACCAATCACTCAGATCACTATGCAGCAAACGTTCAGAACAATTGCATTTGTAGCAGGTAACATACATGCCTCCTTCTGCTCTTTCATTTTTCTAGCTTTGTATTATAAAAAGTTTTCAAAACAGGCTAAAAACTCAGACAAGAAGGTAAAAAATTAAGAGCAGTACCAGAGCAGGGCAGGTGAGGCATATCAGATTAAAAAATTCTAACTGTTTTACATGCAGTTGCATCCTGTGATTTATACATTATATATCATTTTGGTGAAAATAATTTTAAATGGGCGGCTTTTTAATACAAATAAAACAAGATGGCAGCATTTTTCGGGGCTTTCTTAGCAACCTTGCTGATTTTCAGAGACGTGTACATTCGCTTATCTGGGCCTCGCATTGTTTACATTCAAACTTGAATTCCGTCCTATGTTCATAGTATGGAGTATCGTAAGTTCTTCATTTCGCCTAACGAACCCGATTTTAGACAGAATCTTCTTAACACTGCACTGATTAAATACAGTTATTAGCTTTGCGTCAGCTAACTCAGTTTTGTGCTATCATTCATTCGGCATTCGGCACTGCGCTTTGTTTCAGTTGTTGTGCTTCATCGGCCGCGCTCTCAATGTATTTCCGCTCGCTTTTGTGGCGAACAGTTGCCGTCGTTCACAAATATCCTTCAAAAACCAGTTCATAATGTGGTACAGCGGTAAGTTTTTGCGTTTTTACGAGAAACAGTCATTGTTTGCCGAAATTTAAGCTGTGCGTTCGTGTGCTAATAATAGCTGTATATGTGGTGAAGTTAGAGAATTTATATTTCGAGTCTTTTAACTATCAGCTCAGGTCAGTTTTTCAGCCGATGGTTTGAAGATTTGTGCATCGAACTAACTATCTGTCCCAGTTGCCTCTTTGTCCTGCACTAAGTGCCATCCTTTTGTGCAGCAACTAAAATTTTGTTCTATTTTTTGAGAGAATACTACTGCGCGAAAAGATAACTGATAACTAATAGTTACAGGGATGCGAGGTGCAGTGGCATTTGCACTGGCACTTCACATTTCAATTGAAAATGAGGAAACAAAAAGGGTTTTGCTCACAACGACACTTTGCATCGTATTGTTCACCATTATTTTCCTCGGTGGCACAACTTTGCCTCTTCTGAGGGTAAATTTTTTTTTGTTTTGTTAGATGCACTAGTAGAGGCTTTCGGAGACCAATTATCCTCTTGCTTCGCACCTCTTTCATTTCTTATTATGCGTTTTTTGCAGCAATGCAATGCAAAAAACGCATATTGACGAGAGGTTGTCTGTGTGT